GAACCTAAAATATGCGCCAAATATTTGGTCACGGTCCACTCTTTGAAAGTTTCACACCTCGACCACCACCATTTCCTTTGCGCCATTTCGTCGCTCACCTCTCCACGCTCCTCAACTGGTCTTCTCCTACACGCCTTCAACATGCCGAAACCATCGTCGCTATAGAGTGCTATCACGCCACCGAGTGCCACCACGCCACCAAGTGGCATCGACACCACCATAGTCCACCACATTCCGAACCCGCAGTCGACCATGTCGGGCGCCCTTCCATGTGAGTTACCAATTGAGCTCGTGGCTCTCTCTCCCTCGCTTCTCTGACATAGATCGTCCGCACCAACAGTTATGCCACAAGTCCTCGGAGGTTAGAGCCGCGGACAGAGGATGCTATTGCTCTATGCCCTTGCCGCAGTTGTTCATCCCCCTCTTATGCTGATTCAAGATGTCTCAGGATTGAAGATCGCCGCCCTTTGAACCTCAAGTCCTCACTTCAAGGCGACAAGATCGCAAGGCCGCTCGAACTGTAGTCTGTGAGTTCCTTTGTGCTTTCTTTCCCTCTTTCTTGGCCCCCCTTCCCTCCCACGCTTCCGCTCCCCCTCCTCCGCACACCATGTTGTCTGCCACCCCATGCATGCTCCCTTTATCCTGCCTTCCATCCTCTCCCTCTTTCCCTTTTTCCTGGACTTAAGTTCAGGGAGCTTAAGTTCGCAGTACTTAAGTTGAGACGGATAAAAATAATGTATAGACACCCATGTAATCGTAGACCTCAGTTTTGAATAGAACTTGAGTTGTCGGGGCGACTTGAGTGTGGTGAGACTCAAGTACTCAAGTAATAGGGAGGACTTAAGTTCTAGCCCCGCTGGCAGATGGGGCATATGCAATGTGTGGGGCCGCATGGGTGCGGAACATGCAACTCAAGTTCTGCATGAACTTACAGCTAATGTCGGAACCGAAGGCGCGGCGAAAATTTTCCCGATTTGGCCTGTTTTTTATAGTTCCGAAAGAATTCCTTCTAGCACGCTCAGTTTCTGTAAGATTCGGATAAAAAGTAGCTAGATCTTCTCTACTAATTCATCCGCAATTAGTGACAGAGCCAGAATACTAAAAATATCCTATTTTGGTTAGCCTGGCGGTTGGGCCGTTTTCCACAATAAATCAAGGCTAGCAAGCCCAACACTTGACCAATTGGGCTGATATGTTTAGAGGCATGAATTATGGATGCTAGAAGCATCCTCTCAGAGCGATTTAAGCATATCTTTTTTTCTACTGTCTCTAGCTCACAGATAGGCATTTTGACATGGGAAATAAAGAATTAGCCGTATCTCACCAACCTCTGCACCAAATTGGCTCCAAAAATTATACAGGACAGCCATATGCCCTCCTCAAATTTGTGCTACGTAACTCTGGCCGAAGATGTGTATTGAAAATGGTAATTAAAACATGTTGCGTCCGACCTGTGTCACCATCAAGTCACTGCTGTTACATCACCTCTCTTTTGCCACGCTCTCTCACCGCACCAGATGTGCATCGCTTTTGCCCTTCCACTCTACTACACATGAGCCTCCAGCCCAGTCAAGATGAAACCATTGTCTGTCTTCATTGGTAATGGTGTTCTCATACTAACCTCAGTCCTGCTGCAGACTGTTCTCCGGGTCATTCAAGAGTCACCGCATCTGTTCCTGGACGACATACAACAGGAGCTGTCGACCTCTCATGGCCTGACACTATCACTGCCGCAAATTTCCTCCATATTGAATTCCACAGAGATGCCCCACAAGCAGGTAACAATTCGTACACATTGTCCGTTAGCTCTGCTCATGCTGCAATGATCTTGATAATGATCTAGCTAGCTACCGAACAAGCGAATGAACAGAAGAGCTCAAAGATTGCAGAGAGAAAGAAGAAACCTGTTTGGTTTTCACGAGGTTCTCGGTGTGTCACTCCTTCTCCTACTATCATTGGAGTGCTGATACAGAATGAATAGTTTCTCGCTCCTCATTTCCTAGGACACTTACAGCTATGTCAATATGTGAAATTGGATGTTGGTTGAAGCTGCCCAGAGTGTCAATCGGGGGAAAGAGTGGGTTGTACTAGTGTTCAACCATTTTAAAAGACAATATTCCGTATTTCGTTTGATTGTGGCACATCAATGAAGCCAAATAATTCCAGTGGAGACCTCAATGGGATCTATGTAATCAAAACATTAAAAAATATGCAAAGAATGCACAGAAGTCCTTTCGACACATTCGCGACGCGTTGCGTAACACCGGTGTCACGTAGGTCACATCAGCGGGACGCGACACGTTTTAATTACCATTTTCAATACGTCTTCGGCCAGAATTACGTAGCGCAAAGTTGAGGAGGGCATATGGCTGTCCTGTATAATTTTTGGAGCCAATTTGGTGCAGAGGTTGGTGAGATACGGCTAATTCTTTATTTCCCATGTCAAAATGCCTATCTGTGAGCTAGAGACAGTAGAAAAAAAGATATGCTTAAATCGCTCTGAGAGGATGCTTCTAGCATCCATAATTCATGCCTCTAAACATATCAGCCCAATTGGTCAAGTGTTGGGCTTGCTAGCCTTGATTTATTGTGGAAAACGGCCCAACCGCCAGGCTAACCAAAATAGGATATTTTTAGTATTCTGGCTCTGTCACTAATTGCGGATGAATTAGTAGAGAAGATCTAGCTACTTTTTATCCGAATCTTACAGAAACTGAGCGTGCTAGAAGGAATTCTTTCGGAACTATAAAAAACAGGCCAAATCGGGAAAATTTTCGCCGCGCCTTCGGTTCCGACATTAGCTGTAAGTGCGCTAAGCGGTGGAACCGCCCAGAACTTAAGATGAGCTTGTTTTATTTCATGGTTCAGTTCTCTGTTTCCCGTCATGTTTTTTGGGGAAGGGCACGAAAATATCAGTCTGGTTAATGTTGCTGTCAATCCCCACTCAAACGGTCAAGACACTATGCCTGAGGGTATGCTTGCCTGCAATTTCACTAGGCGCGTGCCGCACAGATTGCCAAAGTTAGAACAATCAAAATAAACTTGACTGTGTTCCTTCAATTTGTAAGCCGGTGCAAGCTGGTCGGGAGTCCAAGCATTTTGTTCTCCTCATTGCCTCTCTCTTCTCATCAATTTTCGAAAGTCAATGATAATTCTGCTGGATTTATTCAGCTGAAGTAAGATTCAAACTATGAAGCATTGAGTTTATGAATGCGGGGGTTTTCAGTTTCACACTGGGGAAAGCTTGGTTTCATAAGAGTAAAAGTAGTACATAGCTGAAACGGTAGGTATCTCTCTCAAAATGACTGGCCGTGAAAGCGTACTACCGCACATAGTTGAAACAAATGCCGAAACTCCAACCTTCGGCATTTGTTCAAACTTTCACTATTAGCATCGAGTTCCACCAAGCCAATGGGGTCCAGAGACTAACATTTTCAGAGGCATCTTCTGCCGCCGTTCACCAATCAGTTTCGGGTCCACCTCTGGACAGGTCACCAAAACAATAAATTTCAGGCGGCCGAAAACGATAAAGAAGTCGTTTCAACACAGTTCGAGCTGATGCCATCCCGGCACCCGCCGAAACCTGAATAACCCACACAGATTTTGCCCCCGTACGCAGGCAGATCCGCAAGGTTCCGAATATGGACCACTATAGTTGTAGCAGTTCTTTGCTTATCCGCCATCTCACGGCCCTCTGTGCAAGAGGAGCAAAAGGAACCGAAGGTGGCTCGCAACTTGGAGGCCAGCCGAAAATAGTCCAACCGTGGGGACTAGTAAGGTCGGGCACCAGGAGTCGAACCCGGGCTACTCCTTCAATTGGCCTGCGCAATGGAACAGACGGACCGAGGGTGCGCCGCACACCACACCCGATTTCCGAGCTCAGTATCGCACCTGACTATTCTAGCTACCTTTTAATCCAGAAATTCAACCATTTCATTTTTCTATCTGCCCAGGTGGTGGCCTGGATTTGAGTGCATTCCTTGAATATCGAACAGATCTCATGGGCCTCAGCGCAAAACGAGAAAAACGGAACAAAAGGCGACTCGCGACCCGGAGGCCAGCCGAAAAAAAGCTCAATCGCGGCGGAGTTCGGGAACCAGCAGTCGAACTGTCCTCAGTACCTGTCATCCCGGCTTACAGGTGGAGAGTGTGCACCATAAACCACACCCAATTAATTCCTCCCTGTCGGTGCTCAATAAATCCCCGACATTTTGGAGCTTCTCGGCGCAGAGCAGCGCAAGACAGTAAAAGGGCACATGTTTGAAGATAAGTTCGGGCACCAGGAATCGAACCTGGGACGCTCTCCTCAGTCTTATCACAGGCGTAAGAGGAGGAAGCGTCTGCCTACAGTGCGCCCGGGCCCTAGCTCCCTTGCCGCGCTCAATGAGTCCCCGACATTTTCCGAACCTCGCGACGCAAACGAAAAAAGGCCACCGTTGAAGAGCTAGCTCGGGCACCAGGAGTCGAACCTGCACTTCTCCCTTCGACAAGGATAGAGGAAGGTCTAACAGTATGGAGAGTGCACCGTACACCACGCCCGACTTCTGAGTTCCCTTTACCACTTGAATAAACCACCTACATATCGAGCTTCGCAACCAACAATAAAAGAAAGGAATAAATCTGGATTTACGGAACTCAGGCGCAATTCCTCCTTGGACTCCTTAAATAAACCTGCAGCGGCTGATCTCGTACGCTTCGGCGCAGAGAAAAAGATATTCGAAGAGTTGGCTGTTCGGGCGCCGGGAGTCGAACCTAGTCTACTCCCATTCAATTGTTATCGGCAATGAAAAGGAAGGGAGCGTGCATCACGCCCGAGTACTAGCCCCATTCTCTCCCTCAATATTCCCCCGACATTTTGGCGGGCATTGAGGAAGGAGGAAAAAAGGATTCTTTGAACACAGAACTCAGGCGCACTTCCGCCTTGTACGCCTTGAATAAACCCGCCGCGGCTGATCTCGTACGCTTCGGCGCAGAGAAAAAGATATTCGATGAGTGCGCAGTTCGGGCGCCGGGAGTCGAACCCGGCCTCCTCCCTTGATGTGATGCGGGGTCATCATCCACTTACAGAGAGGGAGGGTGCACCGTACACCACACCCGATTACTTTGCATAGGCCTATACCTTAATAACGCAAACACGACTCATTTCACGCCCTTGCGGTTATGCGCGAGACGTCAGAGCAGTGCGGAGACGTACAGAACGATCCAAAGACTCGTAGACCAGTCCGGAGACTCGCAGATAAGACCATCAGGAGAAAGCTCGCGCGGAGACGCGGTGAAGGTTCGCACGAAGCCAAGAATGAATGAAACCCCGGCGGATCGCGCAGCACAGTATCACAGGCAGCGATCTCGCTCAGTTAGCGGAGGAGACACAGGAGAGACAGCCAAAAAACCCAATATATACAGACAGACGACAACGGCCCCATATGTAGCAGCGAAGCGAAAGAGGAAGGTAACTCGGTAGACGAGGTAAGCGGAGAAAGAGGGAGAGGACGACGGGGAGGGCGGTAACCGCAGATATAGATGTAAGAGGAGGAGACGCGGTCAGCCGCAGTGAGAAGCGGAAACGCAAAGAGGAGAGTGAGGTAAATCGAGCAAGCGCGGTGAGGGAGGGAGGTCAGGATTGAGTGAGTATCTCGGCGTGTGTCCAAACGGCTAAACGGGACGGGAAGGGGATATCGAAAGTGAAAGCGATCCGGGTGGGTGAGGTGACAAGGTATGAATGGGTGAAGAGGTATGTACAGATAGCAGAAGGTACAGATGGAGAAAGAAGAGGAAGGGAAGATACGGAAGGAGCGGTAAGGTGAAAAAATATATAAGTAGAGAGCGCACGATAGATAAAGGAGTAGCGCGCGGTCGGCGGCGCTCGCAGGGACGAACGGACGGACGAGCAGAGCGGTCAGCGTACGTAGGACGCAGGCCTGGATTTTCGGTTTGGCAAGATTGGGAGTGGGATGCGGGAGGGGTGAAGATTGCTGGATTGCGGGGAGGCGTGAAGTTTGTTGGATTGGGAGGAGAGGTGATGGCGGCGCAAGATTTGAATGATAAATCAGATTGCGCAGGGTGATTGATACGGGTCGAATAGAAGGACGATCAGGGACGCAGGCACATCTGCAGTACATGAATCAGTATCAAGTCCGGGCCCATGAAATAGAAGCAGCTCCACTTAAGTTCTAGGCGGTCCGAACCGCTTCAGGACTTAAGTCCTTCGGAACTTAAGTTCTCCCCCAGGCGTGCCAGCGCGGCCGTATGCGCCCCTCAACAGCGGAGCAATTTAAGTCTCATCTATATATAACTCAAGTCCTCCCCGACCACTTAAGTCCTGTCCACTACTCAAGTTCTACCAAGCACTTAAGTCAGATGTGACTGTCAGTGAACACAATGAATTGAAAACTTAAGTTACACCCAAATATCACTGTGGCTAGTAAAACGACGAGCAGCACGAGCACGCCACCAACTGGGTTTCCACGCGTGTGGACATGTCTGGGGGTCTGTACGATCATTGAGTTTGAGGCCGGAGCGTGTGGACAAGAATGGACAAGAATGGTACACACCAGATGTAGTGGGATGTGAAATGGATGTTCCGGTGGTGACTGCAGCATGTGAGACATGAAAGGTCGCAGTGAGTACCACAAGAGAAATGTGATGGTCCGATGTACACACCAAATGAACACTGACCCAAGTGGCATGATGCCATCGAGCTTGGCGGCTGCCAGCTCGAAGAGTGTCCCTCAGATCCCAATGAGCCCTGATCTAAAAAAGAACCTGGCAAGAACTCACCAGAGTCGACAGAAGAGTAAGTCCCAGGTCGTTGGCTATTGGCACACACCCGCAATACACCCCCTCCCAAATCCAGAGCACGTGCCGATTAAGTCCCGTGCATTTCACGTGTGCCAACGCGTCCGACGCGTCAAACACCGTAATTAGTCTAGATACATTATGTTTGAGTTATTATCATCCCCTGTCTCGGTAACCCAGACGTTCCAGTGTGACTTTATCTTATCTCGGACTGATCTGGCGGACTTTAAATAAATGATAAGAAAAAGATGGCCCGAGATCACACTGGAACGTCTGGGGCATTTGGTATAGTAACACCCCCCATTGGGTCACATCAGTCACATCATAACGCGTGAGACCCGGTGGGAAGTATCACCGTGTCTTGACACCTTCGACGCGCCGCCCACCTGGACCTCTCCTGCCTCCCTCGATGCCCTCGCGCACTGATCACGTCAAGCGGACCGCGGAATCCCAGCAAATCTTGCAAGCGGCGCGTGAAAAAGCGCGTCGAAAGACCGGCTACGACTCCGCGAAGACGCGACGCGACTTGGCGTGTCTCTTTGAAGCGCAGTTCAAGAAGCCTCCGCACGAATGGCAAATCGACGTTTCCGAGGCCCTGGTGCTCGGCCTCGATGCCGTCGTCATCGCTGGGACCGGCGCCGGCAAGACGATCCCGTTTATGATGCCATTACTCTTGCATCGCGAGAAGTTCGTGCTTGTTATATCTCCTCTCAAGATTCTACAAGCGGACCAGGTCAGAGTTTCAATACTTCCGAGTTTTCAGCACTAATTTTGGGGCAGGCCAAGCGATTCAAGAAGATGGGATTGAAGGCCGCGGCGGTGAATGGAGATACGTACTCACGTGAACTCCAGCAGGTATGTAATTACACGACGCGTCTCGCGCTTTCCGGCTGATCTCTTCCAGGACCTCCGCACGCAAACCCACAACGCCATTCTCACGTCGCCAGAAATGTGTTTCGAGCATCAAGACTTCCGAAAATGGCTTCGCGACGAACAAACTGGCAAACGGATCCTTGCCGTCATTGTGGACGAAGCCCACTGTGCATCGCAATGGGGGGGCGACTTTCGCCCACACTACTCCCTCTTACACCGTTTGCGGTCCTTGCTCCCCGTCGGCACCCCGATCTTGGCGACATCTGCCACTTTGAGCCCGGACGCGCTTACGGAAGTTTGTTCGGGCCTTGATTTGGATCTCGACCGATCTTTCTTCCTCAACATGGGCAACGACCGGCCCAATATCACTCCCTCCGTGGTCCAGATGAACGGCGGCAAGGATTACAACGCCATCTACCCCCTGCTTCCCGATCCCGCGAAGGTACACTCGGCGGATGATCTGCCAAAGTCCATCATCTTCACCAACTCCGTCAAGAAAACCCAGGTTATTTGCCGCCATATCCGCCACCGCTACCCGAATCTGCGCGGTGCTATCGATTTCCTACATGCTCACCGTACAGCCAAAGCGAAGCGGCGCGTCATGAAGCAGTTTCGGAAAGGGAAGATCAAAATCCTCATTGCAACGGAGGCGGTGGGAATGGTACGTGGCTGTTGCTCTTCATCACAGCGCTGTCTAACATCTCGGACAGGGAGCAGACATTCCGGACATCGAACTCATCATCCAGTTCGGTGTCCCGTCGTCTCTTTCCGTCTGGATTCAGCGTGCAGGCCGCGCGGGTCGCTCCCCTGAAATCCATGCGCGCGCAATCTTACTAGTCGAGAAATCGATGTTTCAGCGGCGTAAAAAGCGCAAGCGGGGAGCTGGAAAGGACAAAACTCCAGCCCCACACGAGCCTGAGTCCTCAGATTCAGACTCGAGCTCTGAGTCGGGGGCCGAGGATCTACCGCCCGAGCCGGTCTCCACTGCCGACGACGGGCTGGAGTGGGGCAAGCAGGTCGATCCTGTCATGCGCGAGTACATCAGCAGTGTGCTATGCCGTCGTGACATGACCGACCGCCATTTCGATAACCCTCCGAGACGCCGTTGAGTTTTCCGGCTACCCATATGTAAATATTCACACTGATGTAATTTCCAGCTGCGACTGGCGAATGCTGCGATAACTGTACGATAATCGAGCAGCAGAAGCAGTGCCCGCCCCCGCCTCCCCCACAGACTCCAGAACCGCCCGACTCGCAGCCATCCAGCGCGCACTCGACACCATCGAAGAAACGAAACGCGAACGGGAAGCGTGTGATGGTGGCGGGCGAGGGCCCCAAAAATCGACGTAAAGAGCACCTCAAGTGCCCGCGCTGCGCTCGAGCGGTGGCGTATCTCCACGTATCTCCGGAGCTACAGCGACAGCGCATTTACGTACGAGGCCCTCCTGCCCGATAAATTTCTCACTTCGTTAGCCTCCCACCGTACCGCAACTCTACGAGACCTCGCAGCCTTGGTACCCGCATGGGCCTTCGTCGACGACCATGGCCTCGATGTTATGGAGGTTCTCGCCCGAGTCGATGATGCCCAACGCGCTGAACGGGAACGTCAAAAGGAGGCGAAGAAAACCGCACGTCATGAACAGACATTGGCGCGTCGTGCCCAGCGCGACCTTCTGGCAGCTTCAACTCCGAAACCACCACCGAAACGGCGAGGACGACCTCCAAAGCCACGGGCACCGTTGGCAACAACGTCCGCTAACACAACGGTGAGTGGCCAATTAATCTACGGTGTTGTTACTAATTTCTCTGATCTCCTTAGCCTCAGCCTGTTACCCCGGCTCTTCACTTACCTCACCCAGTCTATTCGGCACCCTACCCCGGGCCGATTCCGCACACCCCTCCGTCGCAAGCTCCAGCTCATCACGCCTATCCCGGATATGTTCTACCGATCCCGCAGACACCGTCTCCGCACGCGCAGCCTCACCATTATCTATATCAGCAAGCACCTACGTCTACTGGCCCTGCACTACATCCATATGTTCCGCAGATACCACCTCAGCAACTAATGTTCCAGCATTTTCACCCTTATACCTCGTCATTCTCCTCATATTCCAGTCCTCGCACTCCTCAGTTTACTTCTAACAACAGTAGATACATGTATACTCCACCATTTGTACCGCAGCACCCGCCAAACAATAATGATTCTACCTAATATTCGTCGTCGGAATCACTGAGTAAGTCCCAATTCTGTGTTGTTGCTCTCTCGACAGTGCGAATGTCTATCCAACGTTCCCTGGTCTTGCCCGTTTGCATCAAAGTAGCACCCTTTGTCAGGGTATCCTTCGGAACGTCCGGATTGGTCTTCAGTTTAGTTGGAATCTTTCACCCAGGTTTGAACGCGTGAACATCGGATGCACGGTACCATTGCTG